ATTATTTGGACAGATGTAAGAATGATGGCTTGTTCGACATACACAGGGCTTTCCTATTAACAAGGAGGTATTTATCGTGTATGTTCACTGGCAGAGCTGTGGAGTACAGAATTGTGGCTGCACTAACCATTACTATGCAAAGTTACTACACCTTACCACAGCGGGTTTTTATTCTATCTGCTAATGTCACTGTCCTTGTTGATTTAATATGCTCTGGGACAACAAGATGTTACTCATAGTAATTTCTCTGAGACTTGGTTACATCAGAATTAAATCACACAAATAGGAAGTCATCAGCAAGAAGAAACACAAATAGCTTATTCAAAACCAGATTATTTCCTTTTTTTTTTTTTTTGCTAGAATTGCTGAATAGCAGCAGTCTTTGACAATTAAGTGGCACTCAAATTCCCGCTAAAGTAAAGCTCCACTAATGCTCTAACAAGAGAGTGGAATATAAGGGCTGAGTTCAAGTAGAAACTGTTCTGTCACTGAAAAACTTAAAATTTTGCAAGGCCTTTAATATTCTGGAGCACTAAGGTCCCATAAATATTTGACCAAAGACTTCTGTCTTCATGATTGCCACAAATCAGAGGTTTTGCCTGCTTCTGGATTTTCAGTCAAGACCTGCAGCAGCTGGTTTCAGAACTGAGAACAACCTGTTCTGCATCCCTCATGCTAAGCCCCTGATTTCTTGGTTCTGTCTTTCTGCTACTTCTGGTGATTGTTTTTATGCTTTTGACTCTTGGCTATTGGGAAATACCCAGTTACAACAGTAAGACCCGCCCACCCCCGAAATCTTGTAGGATCATCATAATTCTGGAAGGCTGCAGCTTACAAGTCCAAATGATGCTGAAATAATCTGGAATGTCACATGCCAAGCCTTCCTCCCAAAAAAATAGTACAACCCTAGTATATGAGTCAGGTGTCAAAGGCGACACGAAAGGGCTATTAGCCAGCATTTCTGGGCGTACCAGTTGCCATAAAATTCCTCACCTACTGTTTATGATCCGTAAAGGGAAAGGCGGCCTAGTTAAGCTCTGCTAAGTGTCTCAACATCCTTAAGCAGAAGGCACCATGCAAATTGAAGGTATTAAACTAGAACTGGTTCACCTTCATTCCTAAAGGCCTACGATGGAATATATGTTTCGAAATCCTGTGTAAGATGATGATACCTTTGAGCACAGCTCAACAGCACAATCTGGTCATCTGCGTACACACTATAAGTTTGTCAGTCATGAACAGTTTGAGTGTGGGAAGCTATTTACAAAAATTGACACTTTTTTTCCAAGATTTAATGTAAGATCTTACCCGGCTGCTCCTTGGTCAGGTACTTTCAGGAAATCCAAGCTTTCTGGTTGCTGTGAAATCTTGCCTGATCCTCCTGACAGTTGCCGTGGTAAAGTTGGTCGTGTCATATTTGTATACAGGTTTTTCTGATTGGCCCGTTGATTTCCTGGGACATGGGGCAGTGGTACAAACTGTGGGGCATTTATTACTCCGTTTTGCTGCTGACCTAGAAGTAAACAGAGTGTGAACACATCCAGTCCAAAGTGCAGCTCCATAAAGGTAACCTTTTCCTTGTGGCAGATCCAGCTGTCAGCGAGACTCAGCTATCACAGAACTTGAAAATAAAATAATGTTGACATCTTGAAGTTGGAGTCATACACAGTTTCGGGTCTGCTGGCACTTTGTTTTGGGTTCACGTCTTCACGGACTGGTGCTCAAGTTTGAGACACGTGCCTTGAATGTTGCAAGCAAGAGCATTAGCTCTCAGCTGAATTCAGCCTTATTAATGTCAGCGAGGGTGTAACCACCACGCCTCTGTTTAAAATACTGCAGAAAATCCTATCCAGGTAAGATCTAAAGCTAGCTAGGATGCTGGGGGTCTCTTTTTCTTTTGGAGTTCAAATCTCGTCCAATTCCCTGAATCCTGGGTAGACTGTTTTTTAAGTTGTTACAAACATTGGTCTATTTTAACAACCAAGGGGTTTTTTTGTTTTCTTTTGTTCTGGTTTGTTTTGGTTCACGGTTTGTTTGGGGTTTTTTTTTGTTTTTAAAAAAGCCTTGCTGCTACTTTGATAGCTCAAAAGGAGTTTGAATTTTCTAGGTGATGACAAGGGTACATGGCTTTAAATAATTATGCCTGTAACTGGAATTTAAAACAAACCCACCCATATCTGAGCTATTTGCAGGATCAGGGCCCAAGGAGCTCAATTCGGCGTGCTTCACATTCCTGAAACCCCCACTGAATAAAATGGGAGCTATGCTTGTATTAAAAATCAGATTGCTCAGTGCTGTGGGTGATCCTCTCCTCTTCCCATTGTGATTATGCCTGTTGAAAATTAGGAGAATGAATCGCTGTGCAGGGAGTAGAACTCATCATTGTGACGCCTGGAGAAACCTTACTGCATTCAACAGCGGGTCTTTGCTTCTAATAGTCTCTTGATACTGTGGCAGAGCTTAAGTAGCCATAAACTCATACATAAAACTGGCTTTGGGACCCAAGATAGCATGGGACATGTATTATGGTTATATAAATAAAGGCTTGATTTATTCTGGACATATACGTAACAGCCTGTTCAGCTACTGGACCGTTAATTTAAAACCAGGTATGAAAACAGCAGAATACATTTCAAGTGACACCGATCATGGCCCACAGTGTTACTTCCCCACATTATGAGAGCAGGATGGAGAGAACTGCTTGTGACTTTCATGGAGGAACGTGCCGGGATCACGCAATTGCCTCAGACTCCTTGAATGTCTGGACAGTCTAACTAGAACTCTTCTGTAACACCTGTCTTCAATCTTATTTTTCCAGCTCTAACTAGCTACTTCAGAAAAGAGTTTGAATTCAAAGAACCAAAGAAACAGAAACCCACATTATGGTAATTGATTTGAGGTCTGTATGAAAGACTTCTCCTCACTTTTTAAACGTGATACCCTAACCTGCGTCAGGTTCAACACAGCATTTAACTTCAGCAGTTACACTGATCCTGCTGGGACGCTACAGCGTGGTTTCACTGGTCCACCAACAGCCGAACCCCACAGCTGAACACTGGGGATATGGTGGGTCAACAGAATATTGTTCTCTCCCCAGAGCTCACAGGCTACCTTTTTTTTTCCCCAAGGGCAGAGGTGAAACACCCGGATGACATCAGTCCCAGGCAGAAAGTCAGCCCAGAGTCCTGCTGCACACAGAGACGGGCTCTTCTAAGGAGGGCTCTCTGTGGCCACGTCTGGTCAGGAGCTGCCACGAGCACTGGGGGGATGTGATTACAAGAGGCCGTACTGCAGGTACGGGCATCCCCCGGTGCCTTGGGCTTGCGTGCAAATCGACATCCAAACTGCCTTCCCTACAGGAGGCAAGGCTGGGCTTGGTCTGCAGACACAAGGCTTCTTCAAACAATGTTTTTTGTCTTTTTTCACATAGCTATAAAACTGCTGAAAGAGTTTTTTGAAAATACTGAAACAGGCTTCCCTTGCTTTAACTCCTCCGGTACGCGTACCTGCTATCTGTGTTGGCAGACAGGTTAACTCCTTTAACTACAGTGACTTCCCACTTGACTACAAGCAGTTCTTGCAGATCATGCAGCCCTTAGTTTGACTCCTGTGGCTCTAAGGATTGCGAATTGTCCAGTTAATTCAGTGACCGAGACTGGCTGCACCCCCAGCTTACACCATTAGCATTGTGCCTCTCAAAAAACAGCAGCCAACTGAAAGGGAACGCTTTGTTTAAAAAAGTACTCTGGGAGTGTAAGTAAAAAAAAACTACTTGGGAAATGCTGGATCAATGGAATATTGTTCTTGCTGATGAGTTCACAGGCTAAATTAATCATATCTCTCAGGGGCAGAAGTGGAACACCCTGATGACATCAACCCCATGCAGAAAAAGCCGTGCTGCTCGCCGGCACAGCTGGTCCCTCCCAGCATTCAGCGGACACAAAAGGCGTTAGGTAGGAGGGCAGGACCACGAGACATACATTGTGTGCTGTTGTCTGCTGGCACTGCAAGCAGTCTCACTGCCAAGCACTGTCGATGGCTTGGTAAGTGTATAGCTCCTGCCCTTGAACGGGGAGTGCAGACAGCGACGGGGTTAGTTTCAGATTCAGCGTCTCGTACTGAGTGGCTGAACGCGCCAGCGTCCATGCCAGCCAGGATCTCTCTGGCAGAACAGCAGTCTGGCTGTCTGCAACCATACACTTCGTAAAATGCCTGCACTGTATGTTTTCCAGACAGGATATTTTAAAGAGGATTTTAAACCTTTACTATGATTTTTTTAATGGGTAAAAATTACCAGATGACAAGGGTAAACTGAAAGCCCAAATCCGGAGTTTTGTTTTTGCCTGGGGCTAAGAGGACTTACCAGGAGGAGGTGGTGCGGCTCTCATAGGGTAAGTCTGACTCTGAGACCTGTTGGAATACCCTCTACTTTGGGTAAGGTTCCGTCTAGTAGGACCTAAAAGAAACCAGCAACATTTCATCACCCTTTCACAGTTACGTTAATTAGGTAAGTCCTTCTGGCTGCCAGACCCCTGCTCTGACCAGAAAGAGCTGACCTTTAGGAATAATGAATGAATCTGACTCCTACAGTGCTGGCCAGGTGGTTATAAAGCTTGAGGTGCAAAAAGGATGCGTTAGGCATGCTCTCCCTTTTGTGATCCAGGTCAGCCGCAGTAAAGCTGTCTCAAGACTACAGTGAGTGACGCCCAAATGCCCATCAGCTTCATGACCCTGTTTCTAAACCACGGATAGCTGGCACGGCAGTGCCTCTGACTATACTTCAGCAATTAGTATGAGAATAAGGTAGACACAAAACCTGAGAGGCTGGTATATTTGCAGGTCAACCTTTGGTGACATACAGAGTCTACCTTTCCTCACATCACAACCTGCCCTGTCCTGACACAGACCTTTCTGCATCAGCAAGACTGTAGGAGCTACAGGAGCTCAAAGCAGAGCGAAACACTTCCCCAAAATGTCTGGTTAATTGTGCCATTTGTACTACGTCACATGATAGAAGCCCTCAGTTCCTTCTGCCGCGGGGCAAAGGATTTCACAAACTGTATACAGCGAAAGTAACAACATTCCAGAGCAGCAAGGAATTCGCTGTATCGTTAGGATCTATAGATCTTCTGTACAGAGAAATAATAAAGAACATGCTGAGGCTGCAGGCCAGCAAGGAGAGAAAGAGTCAGTCGTTCTCTAAATTTCTAAACCAGTCACTGATTTCTACATGAAATTCATACTCACGGGAATTCTTTGGTAGCCCTGGTCCGATGCTGATCTGCAGCACTTTATTACTTGGCTTGAGAACGGCTATATCTCCTTGGCCTTGCATAAATTGCACTTGTCGAGAACCACCACTGCTCCAGGGCCCCCAACTCTCCTTTTTCAGTTTCACTTCAAGTCTAATATGAGCACATGAATAAAAAAACCAGGAAGCATTTCTATGCCAAATCAGGACAGTATTACTTGGCAGCAGATAACTTAGAAATATAGAAATGAAAAGCTCAGACCGAGAATCTGTATTCCCAAGCAATTTAGCTGACATGAAGCACCTAACTAAATCTCTTCACGCTTTTTAAAATGTTGTTCTTAATTGCTGTTCTAACTCTCCTGGTAGAGCTACTCAAAGGAAGTTTAAGAAGCCCTGGAGAGGGTGGAGAGTACAGTGAGCTTTGAAGAAAAAGGTGCAAAGGTGCAGACCCTTGAGCCTGATGCCGTGTGCAGCAGAATGAAGGTAACTCTTCTGTGCACACAGTGCAAAGTGGCAGATGGCCCAGGTACAATCCTAACCTATTACTCTGTGGAGCTAATCAGAAAGTCTGGTCTCCTTGCACATACACTGATTTTTACATTGTGCTGCCTCTTCATGTATTAAAACAAAGCACACTGTCAGGAGCTCAACTAGCACTCACTCGTTTGCCTCGGCAGCAAGAACAAAGACTATTTATTCTTAAAAACCCATTGAAAAAAACCATAACTCACGTATTGCTAAACTTCAGAGGTAGTTTTCTTTGTGTTTTCTCTTCGTATCGTTTTGATAAGAGGCTTAAAAATTCAGTTTTGAAGACTGATTCCAGCAAACTATCATATTCCTGTTCATGTAGAATGAAAATGTCATCCTGCATTGTGCTGAAAAGAAATCAGATCATATACCATTCAGATTAAAATCTTATCAGCAACTCTCATCAACAGCCTGCATTATAATGACATTTGCATGGTTAATTTTTAAAACCCTAAGAAAGTCCAAGCAGCATTAATATAGAGTCTTACTTTCTGAGAATAGTTTTGGGGTTTTTTTTTCAGGAGTTGATAATGGAATATCTGAAACGATCCTTTTTTGAGAGACAAGAATACCACTTAGTCATTTTACACTAATTACTGTTAGCAAAAGAATATGCGCTATTGAAGTTACAATTAAAGTCCATCTCTTCAACAATAGCAAAACCTGTGATTAGAGGTGAACTGGAAACCTGAAGGTTACTGAAGCGAGACACAAATCCAGAGCAAGCAAATTCAGAATGAAAGCTTTCCACTTTCTGTTGGCTTTAGCTTGAACTGGTTTAACCCAGTGCCAAACGCGCAGACGTTGGGGTCCCACTGCCGCCTTTGGATCAGCTCCTACTCACACCTGCTGAAGAGGCTGCAAACCACTTCACCGAAAATGATGTCCACGTCAGTGATCTGCAAGGCTGATTTCTGCCCTTCCAGAGTCGCCCCAGTAAAACCAGTTCTGTCGCATCCTAGCCGGGATTGCTCGTTCCTGCATGCTTGCGGCCTGTCCCTACACGTATCATTCTCCTTTTACCAGCCCGCTGGCCGACTGCCTAGCTAGAACTGCAGTGGTGAGTGGCTGCTGCTGCATCGTCCCTACGAAGGGGTGTAACCACAGCTTTCCAAATGAACCGGTGAGACCTGCACACGGAGGCCGTGGGTCACCCCTCACGCCCCGACACGAACAGCATATCAGCAGCCATGGGCTGCCCGGGTTCAATTTGCTGGTCCCACAGTAAATAACGGTATTTTGCAGCTTGTGAGCACCCCGCTGGGTGAGCTTTCAGAGCCAGGTCCCTGCGTGGGGGTGCAGTGCTAGATCAGCCCCAAGGAAACAGTGGGAGCATCATGACAGAGGGAGGGGGCTGCCCTTGGGCAGCCGCCCACATTCGCATTGGATTAGAAGTGACAAGAAACCTCTAATTTCGTGTGTGATTTCATAAGCAGTTTCAATCGAGTGAACAGTGCTGTGCTGTCAGAAAGGGCCGCCTTCCCTCTGCCCCTCACAGTTTGATCCATGCGCACTTCTGTTCCTTCCCTCGTGCCAGAATCCATCCCCTGCCCTGCCCTGCCCTGGTAGCTTCATTGTCTCCGTCCCTGACTTGGCAATGTCTCATCCATAGCCCGTGCAGCCACCTGAGTGCTGGCTAGTGTAGGAAAGAAGATGTGTGCCAAGGAGAAGAGACAGCACAGGACTTCTGACAACTATGCAGAGCTGAGAATTGCTTAACCTTATCACAAAATAATTACCACTGGCATGATATTTCAATAAATGGAGTACAACCATTGAAGAAAGGAGCATTAGTTAGATATTAGTAAGTATTCCTGGCAGAAAATGCGTGGCTCCCTTTCATGGTGGTTCAGTCTGCTGCCGGGAGCCTGAGGCCAAAGCTTCTCTGCTCTTTTGTCAATGTCGTTGGTCAATCTTCTGCTGCTGTTACTAATATGAGGAAACACTAATTTATAATCACCAATTTATTTCAATACATTAGATATCACCCACTAAGTGAAAAAGGCACTCTCCATTTGCATTCCTCTCTGGAGAAATGGGCCTTTCATATCCTGTTGGGTTTAGAATTAATATTTATTATGAGCTTTCACTGTTTTTTCTAAAACCCAGTATAGGTAAGTCAGAAGTGTGAACGTCTGCATTGCAGTGGTTAGGGCTGTGGAAAACCAGGCGGGTGGCTTTGGCAGCCAGGTGAAGGGCAAGCCAGAGTTAATACCTGTCACTAAGAAACTGCTTCTTTCCCTGGTTTGCATAGCCATACAGCACACAAAGAAGGTGCTGATAACTCACCTAAATCTAAATATGTGTTGCTTCGATACAGTTCAGAGTATCTCCAAAAGTAAATTAATTATAGCATATAAGGAACTCAAAGAGCATTCAGCTCAGGAAAAAAAAAAGCCTCTACCTTCTATCAAAGAAAATTAGGTCTGTTTGCCCTCATCTCTGTTTTCTGACCCTAATTACGGAGCAATCAACAGCTTTCCACTCAGAGCATGCCCCTCCCTTTCCCTCTCCCAGCTGGTTTGCCTGATTGCTGACTCTATAAATCTGAAAGGGGGGAGCAGGCCTGGCTTTCTGATCCTCACTTCTCATCTGGTCACTGAAGAGGACTAGACTTCCTCTACAGACTGTGAGTACCTCTTTAATGCAGAATTAAAAATAGCTTCCTAGTGCTGCTAGAGATGCTCTTGACTGCCAGGTATGAAAATACAGTTCTAACCCACTTGAGGCAGCAGGTAAAGGATGAGTTGTATCCCTACCTGCTTTTCTAAAAACCTGCCTCCCACCTGTGCACTCCATAATCTCCTTTCCATCTGCAATCTTCCGTGTAGTTTGACAAAACTACAAACTTACCTAATTAGTATTTAAAATAGCAATAAGAAACGTATAAAAATAGAGTAAGAGCATGACCTCCTTTCCTATCATCAAGCAAATCTAGGGCCTTAGCCAGTTCTGAATGAGACCTGTAAGAAAAGCCCAAGGCCTACAGTAAATACTATCCAGTCAGTGGTCCTATTTTTGCTGACTCGGCCAAGAGCATGACTTCACAATACTGTTGGGATGTCCTGTGTCACTCCTCACCAGATGAACGATAAAGCTCAGTTACTTACTGTTGCTAAAAACGCAAGAACATTTCCATGAGAGTAGGGGCTGTTCAGTACCCTGAACAAATTCCAAGTTGGCATCTGCACTTTAAATTGCAACTCCTTTAGCAATTTAAATTGTTATGTAGTGTTAATTGCTGATACTACTTGTCAATAGCGCTGATTATTCTGCTGCCTTTATTGCGTATGAGTGTATTGATACTACCTTATATCAGTATGTTCCACATGGGTTTCTTGAGAGGTATTATTTAGATAGCAATGCAAGAATCCAGTTCTCTCCCCCTTCCATTTAAAACATATTTCATTTTGTATTGATTTAGTTAAAATCTAATATAGCATGAAAAATAGTACAGATAAGAACTGAAACTGATAAATACGTATTTCCTTGGAACTAAGCACGTTTAGTTTTGCTTCAGAAGATTCTGTGAAACTGGTATTTACGTGTGAGAGGAGTGTAACAGCTTTCCCTGACTTGGCAGGCAGCCTTCCTTTCAGCTGACTCAATGTGGCTGTGCCTTTGGAACGCCACAGGCCCAATTCAAACGTCTGGCTGCAATCTGTTCAAGGTCTGCACAATACACAGTGCAAACCTGGAGCACCAAAAAGACAGGTTCCACTCTCTTCCTCAGCCCAGACCTACTGCAGTTATTTTGTTGTAACTCTTGTTATAAAGATGTATAACAATACACCACAGGTTTTGAAAATGGTACGGTGAGCAGACACGTCTTGCAGAGCCTTCCCTAATCTTGAAATGGCTGTGAGGAACTCTGCAAAAATGTGAAATAATCTGCTGGTTTTAAGTACTAGGTAATGTCTGCGAGACAATTTCTGTCTATGCTAATGGGAACGTTTTATAAGCATATACTAAAAACCTCTGCAGTAGCTACCAATGCACAGTACCCAAGTGTAGACTTGGATTCTGTTAAAATAGTAATTTATTTCGATATTTGAAGGGCATTTGTTGCCCGGAATCGGTATTGGTTTGTGTTAGGTTATACTCAGCTACCAGCTGAAACAACAACTAGTCAGAAAACATTTATGTGCTGGCTATAAACAAACATCTATTGCTATAACGCACTTACTAGGGCTGGGAGCAAAAATAAGGCTTGAGCTTTCCTTGTTTACAAGATTCAATTCATACAGCTTAAGAAATTCACCCCTCATCAATTAACTTATCTTCACCCTGTCCTACACAAATTTTTCTGTCAATGGAAGGATGTTTTCAAGATACCGACCTGAGAGAAACAGCAAGAATTCTCTCCACTTCCATCCTTCGCTTTAACACTTCCTTCACTTGGCCTTTCTCTGGACCCTGCTTTATCTTTTCCCGCCCGATCAGGTATATGCACTTGGGAGTGAGGACAAGATCTCTCTTCACGCTCTGAAACAGAAAACTGGTTGAAAACGCATAGCTCTGCAGAGATCAGGGCACTAATGCTGTGATGCCGTTCCAAAGATAGAGAATGTACCATGATTTGGGGCAAGACTGTTAGTCTTTGGTTCAAGTGGAGAAAGACACTGATGTGATTAATCACACCACCTCAGAGTCAGCTTGCACAGGCCAGGAAGGGAGCTTTGTTCCCCATCTCCTAACCGATGGAGCTTTCTGCCCAGCGAGTCCCATAAAGCCTCCATCCCGGGACAACAGGTTTGACAATAGCCACAAGGGTGGAACTGCTTCCCTACGCGTCTTTTAAGTCAAAGACCCTTTTTTTCACACTGACATCCTAGATGGTATGGCACTAACATGGTGGAGTTTCTGTTAAAGGGTGGTAAAGAGACCTGTAACTCTAGCAGCACTAATCATCAGTGGAGGTTGCTCTTAAACCTACCTTAAACCGTCTATCATATTTAGTTACGGTGTCTGCAAAATCAATCTTCTCCCGTTTGCCCACAAACTGGCGTAGCTCTGGATGGTCCTCCATGCCTATGTAATCTCCCACAAAATTCCTGTTAATGCTGTTCTGTCTTCTCTCCTTCTTGTTCAGCAACAGATCTGATGCTTAAACACCAAAAATAAACACAGATTAATAATATTTACTAAATTTTCTAAACTCACAATCTGAAAGACCTCTTTCAAGCAGAACTTCTTGGGAAGAAACGATAACCAGATTGTTTATAATATGAAAAAAATATTAAAGCACTGATACAAATTCTTAAAAAGAAGGATCTATGTGATTATTAAATCCATTCCCAGTGAAATACACTAATGGCAAGCTCAGCAGTTCTGCTGAATCAGGAGCACTTCTGGAACTAGGGAATTTCTCACCTGTTGCTGGAAATTAAAGGTTAACTCTTCCAAACCCAGAATGTTGTTCACTCGGATAACCCAGGTCACACATGCAACTAAGCACTACAGTCCTTGGATTGAGTTGTATCATCTACAGACCACCTAGGTCCTGTGTAACTGTGGGAAGCTTTCCCTTTCTTGCTTGCCCTGGAACATCTCTGATATTTGTCCTACTCAAGTGGGGCTTTGTTTTGAGAGCAAAACTCGGGGTAGTCCAAGAATCCCATGCATGCAGAGCAGCCAACCTCATCGGTGGTACCCTAGGTCCAACAATTTGCAGTCATTCCCAGACAGTCATTTGCAATGCAACCGTTTGCCCTACAGAGAGGGAGATAACTTCATCTCCTGTGGCACTCTTTCTGTTCTTGGAACCATGTGTGAAACACCTCTCATCAGAAGTTATGACCTACCTTCTTCTCTCATCTGTACGTATTTTTTCCTGGCCGCGTACTTCCTCCACGCCTTCTGGATGGCCCTAGCATACCCGTCGTACTTCCTCTCTCTCATCTCTTCTAACAAAAACAGCTGTACAAAGAGACGGGGGGGGGGGGGTCAAACATTTCACATAAGAAAATGCTGCATTTAACTTTCCACCACTTTCCAGTGCATTTCACTCTAGATCCAAGCTGGTGCCTCTACCAGAACTATGGGATCTGAGATCAGAAGGAATCTCTGATGCCTGGGTGGTTCTGGCTCTTACCAGTCTACCCACTAATATTAATAGCCAACAATGAAGGATGAGGAATATGGATTCTCCCTGAATTATTCCACTGGTGCAGCTCAAGGTTCTCCACTGGGCATCCATCCAGCCTCCATCTTCATATTCTCCAAAATTGGTATTTCTCTTATCAGAATGTTACCATGTCTACGGGGATCTGTGCAATGTCTGACACAATGCACTGTATTCACATGCAACTTTCTGCCCTGTCTGAATTCTGTACTCTTGTGTCCATTGGCTCAGTTCTTTCCCAGCGGTGAAGTTTGTCGGCTGGCTGCAGGGATTTACAACTATGATCTTGTATTTCAGTACGACATAACAAGATTTTCGGGTCTAAAATCTTGTCAGAATTCAAGAGAAAATGCTGACTTATCAAACAAAAATGGAAGGGCATCCCCTTTTTTGAGAATTTCCTGGGTCCCACTAAAATATGTGTAAATTTAATGCATTAGAACAACTTCATAATTATTGTAGGATACAGCATATTTCACTACAGCTTTTTACATACTTGAAGTTTAGTTAAATGTTTTCTTGTCTCATCAGAAGCAAAAGCATTTGGCTAACCATTAGAGTAGTAAATCAGTCCACTGCCATGTCTGTTGCTTATTATTTCCCTCTACTGTGTGTTAAATATTTGTAAGGACTTTTCTTCTCGCTTTCAAAAGAGATAAAATTAATAAAAACCATCAAGTATACCAAGAAGCAAACCTGGGCTTTTTTTAATTTGCTGCCCTAAACCATACAAATCTAGAAAAATACTGGTTTTCATATTGATCTTAAAAAGGAAACTTGATCTAGTGCAAACCATTTCCGCAGAACCTCACTTGTTCTTGTACAGTTATTTATTCAGGTGTTTGATGGAAATGTAAATAATGAAGCCTCCTTTCTGCCACCCATAAAACCTTATTTCACAGTTGGCAACTCTCCATCTACAGCAAACTCATTTAACAAAAAAATCTCTTCACAAACACACGAGCACTAGCCAGGGTTTCAGCACACAAGTGTGAGTGCTCCTGATGCAAAAACTTCCTCAGCTTCAGCAGGGGCGCGATCAAGCCCTTGCGCAAGTCAGGTTATGGTAACAGCAGTGGTGTCCTCTCTCATGAATGGTCACCATTTATTTCTCTAACAATGAATGCTAATTGCAAAATCTCAACGCAAAATAGTCTATCACTGCAGTTGAAGGTCACAATTAAGGAAGTTCAATTAAAAAGTTGAGTTAAAATATGGTTCATAAGTTATGAAATAAAAATACTGCATAAATTCTTTCCCAAAATATGTATTATAAAGCCTGCCCTCACACCCCCAAGCAAATCAAACATTTCCCATCTGATTAACTACAACAGGTGCTCTCTTTAGTGGTAGAAAGAAAAACTTTCATTTACCATCTAAAAGATTATTTTTCTCAAAAGTAATATAACCCTGGCCAATACTTCAGTAAGATGAGAGATGATTCTTTGATACTAAAAGATATAAATCAAGCTTTAGAATATTCAGCTCATAGAAAATTTTATAACTTGAAATTAAAAAGGCCCAGGCTATTTTTAGTACCTGCTTAAAATGGATTTCATGGCTTTTCAATAAATAATTTTTTAAAGAAAATGTATACAGTAATTGAAAGCATTGATTTTAAATTAAAATCAAAATGCAACCCAAAAACATTTTACTGTTTCCACTCAACCTCATATTGTCTTAACCTGCAGAACTACCCTTCAGTAAAACTCCCAGGTATGTCATTAAATGGCATAGATGTGCAACCAGGACTTGGTACCACAAAAATGCATTAGAATGGGAAGATGCACCCACTAGCAAACAATTTCCTCCTCTTGGAAACAACCTAGTAGCACATAATGTTGCAGGACAGAATATTAAAGTTCTTTAGAGTGAAGGGGAACTAGACCCATCAATCCTATGTGAGCACTTGGTTGTTACACAGCAGACAGACAGACATTAGCAAATTATTTAATTTATTTCTTTGGAAAAGAAAAAAAACAACCCACCCAGGAACAAGACCCACCCCATTTGTGAAGATATGACTGCTGAAAATCTGTGCTTTTATAAGGGACAAAAATACCAAGCTTAGGGGGTACTTCAGCAGCCAGGAATGGAAGACAGCTCCTTACGTGATTTACTACATAAAACTGAAAACAAATACTTTAAAATTTTGGATTGACTTACCCATAAAGTAGCATAACATTGAGAAAACAGCCATCACACAAAAACTGTCCTGGTTTCTTCCCTTAACTGTTTATCACCCAAGCAGAGATTGTAGCTGGTTTGTAACTAACTGCAATGAATGGCGTGGATGCAAAACAATTTCACAGTGAAAACGAGGAAATCTGGTTTGCTACAGTGTAAGATAATGAACACAGGACTGGAAGATGTTGCTTAAATTACTAATTCTGGTTCCTTGTAATTATAAGCAACTAAGTTGTATTAATTCAGACAGACACTTGACCAGAATGTGTATTTGCCACCACCCTATAATAAACCTGAGGTAAAGGACTAAAAGTCACAACTATAATGTGACAAGAAGAGATACCAAAGACATCTGCTAATGTCCATGGCAATTGCGACTTTGTAAAAGATTTCTCAATAATCTAAAAAAATAAATCATGGCACAGGCTACAGAGGAAGGCAGATAAAGCTCGCACTTCCTCCTAACTGGCTAGCTACGGGGTTGCTTGCAATGGCTAAGAAGGAGTAACCCTATACGAGAATTTCCTGCTCTGCCACGTGCACCTAAGTGCTCTCATAACCTACACCTTGAACGCTATATATGCTTTATTGGCTCTCAGATGGCAGGAAGATAAAGTTCCATTATTCCTGAACAAAGATAACACCATCTTACCCTATTTATGGTAGAAACAACACAATTTCTATTATGACTTGGAGAAGTATTATCTTTTTCCTTTAACAGGTACCTTCCCATGTCTTTTGGCACAGCAGTGTCATTGCCTGATGTACTGCTGCTCTACAGAGCAAAAAATACGTTTCTGTAAAAGAAAATGATAGCACTAGGAGTGCTGGGCTTTTATTTTTATAGGTAAGTTCAGGTAAAGCACCAAGAAACCACCTAATGCTCAACTGCAAAGCATGCTGTACAAACCAAGCCCAATGGCTTCTGATAAATAAGGAACACATGGTGGTGAGCAGAGCACAGGGTTTTTTCCTTGACAACTTTCTTGAGTAGTGATCTAAGAACTTTTTTCCAACAGATTTTCGTGCAGTTTAGCAAGCACAGAATAAAAACAGCCTTACGATGCCTGCCTAATGTTCTCTTTGAACGGGACTTCAGGTTGCAGTCGTTCTGGAACACTGATTTGCTCGATGCATACCGTATCCTTACTCTAACCGGGGGCTGCTCTGTTTTCATCGGTTCTTGTACTGAGAAGAGGACTCGTTTTCTTGGGCTAATGGTCACAGATGTGTTTCCATGCCATGATATTCCTTCATATGACCAATTCTCTGAGGGAATGTCACCACATACAACCTGACACCAAAGTATCTTCATAACCTGTCTCCTCTTCTTGAGGCACTTAACGCGCCTTGTGTTAGTGTCCCAATCGCCCAGGATCCTCACATACTGTGCCCGTTACACAGGTGCCTAGAATCCCTCACAGCCTCAAGGCACCCGTGACAGGCCTGCCCAGCTGGACTGACATTCACGTGCCTCTCCCAGCCGAGCAGGTATCTCGCTCAACTCCTGAGTGGGCAGGCCTTTTATTTCAGCAAAACAGTTTCATATTTAAAGACTCAGGTTCTGTCAGACTTACAGACTCCGGAGCTTTGATGAAGACCTTGGATTTTCCAAGCTGGTATTGGTCAGGATCCATGTTGACCGACTGAAGCAGGTGAAGAACTCCTTGTTTCTCTTCTCCTTTCCAGGAAGGCCAGGTTGCTTTGGTCAGAATGGCATACCTTAACCACCAAAGAGTGGAGATTAAAACCCAACATCAAACAGCCGCAGCAGAATACCACGGACTCTTAGTCAGTATTACCCTGCGAGGAGGGCTGACAATTTCAGCA